TATATATATATATACATATATATGTGTGTGTGTGTGTGTGTGTGTGTGTGTGTGTGTATATACATATACCCAGATAAGGGATGATTTTATGGGAAATGTCGACTTACTCTCTCACCAGGATCTCCATGGAGGCCAGAGGAGCCTTGTATACCTGGAGTGCCGGGGAGACCCTGAAAAAACGACAAGCAAAACGTCAAAGGCAACGTAACACAGAAAGAAACACTTGCGCAACTCTATGCTGACATTTTCCATAAAGGCATGTTTTCCTATGGAGTTTCTCCTTGTGTGAAAAGAGTGCGAAACAAGGTGATACTCACAGGGGAACCTGGTGGTCCTGGCGGTCCCTCTACTAGCATCCCCTGAAAATAATTAAAAGGGAGAGAAAAAGAAAAAACATTTCAGTTCTGTAGCATGCTTGGCAGGTCGTAAATCTCACAGTATGAGCAGCACAGAAATAAAAAGAAAAGTGAATAATGCAACTGCTGTCAAAATCAGATGAATAATACGTTGACATTTGAAAACATTAATGTAAGAATATTTTTTCCTGGACTGCTACCATCTTCCCTTTGCCATATAACTGTACAAAGAGTAGTTAGGTGGGAGGAAGGAATATTGGAATAGGAATACTGGAATATTGAACATTGGAATATTACAGCCCCAAAATGTAGGATGCATTACATTGATCAAAAGTGATAGTAAAGACTTTTACATTCTTAAAAAAATAAACAAAACAAAACAAAAAAAAGTTTCCATGGTTTCCACAAAATATTAAGCAACAGCTGTTTTCAGCATTTATAATGATAAGAAATTATTCTTGAGCACCAAATCAACATTTTAGAAATTGATTTCTATCATGTGACACTGAAGACTGGAGTGTTAAAATATATTAAAATAGAAAAAAGTTATTTTAAATTGTAATACTATTTCACAATATTACTGTTTTTACTGTATTTTTGATCAAATAAATACATCCTTGATGAGCATAAGAGACTTTCAAAAACATTTAAAAATCCTCTCAACTTTAAACTTATATATAATAGTTAGTGGCCTGGCACATTCTGAACTGACACACTATTGAGGGGAAAAAATATGATGCATAATTTATTAGTAGCTGCATTTCATTTGGTACTTATACTTCATGCAGAGAGTTTACCTACCGGCTCAATGACTGCAGGTTCACCTTTTTGCCCCTTCTCACCGCCATAGCCACCACCTACCTACAACAGACACAAAACAAACTGAGATTTAATGACAGAGAAAGTACTACTCCTGTAGACCAAACAACTGTAAAACAGCACATTAAGCACTACAGCTAATGCCTAAAATGGACTCTATAACTCTATAAAGCTAAGTGGTGAATATGCTCAGTTACTGTGAGGATGATTAGAAATTAAGTGTGAACTCCATCTTTTCCTATAATGTCCACTTACAAGACCCATAGGGAAAGTCATTTGACAATATTTATAAAGTAATTTAACACAAGTATTAAATTCAGAAAAGGAGTACAATGCCACCGTGGTCAGTATGAGTGATGAGTGACGTGACATGATATGGTAACCCATACTTGGAATGCATCTAGTGCTCTGCATTTAACCCATCCAAAGTGCACACACACAGCAGTGAACACACACACCCGTGAACACACACCCGGAGCAGTGGGCAGCCATTTATGCTGTGGCGCCTTACGGGGAGCAGTTGGGGGTTCGGTGCCTTGCTCAAGAGCACCTCAGTCATGGTATTGAAGGTGGAAGAGAGCACTGTACATTCACTCCCCCCACCTACAATCCCTGCCGGTACGAGACTCGAACCCACAACCTTTGGGTTATGAGTCCGACTCTCTAACCATTAGGCCACGACTTCCCCATGTGCTTATGTGTAAACGAGTCTGTGTCAACGAGTACTTGTGTTGAACTGTGAAAATAAGTCTCAAGTTATCACAGATCAACACTGCAATCACACAGCTAACCTTTCATTTCCTGTCTCCCACACACCACAAGCAAAACGGCTACAATTGAGAGACTTTCATGTGCTGCTGTGTCAGCAGACATACTGAAACATAGTATGGTAAATGGACATTATTCCTAGTAATTATGAGCATTAGAATTACAGTTATGTGGTTGCAATAATAAAAAAAAAAACATCCTTGACATTCTCTTGCTACACAATTGACTTGATTCCAACAAAAAGATGGAGAAGTATACTCACATTACTCTCTGTGATCTGTGTTTCAGCAGGTCGGCCCGGTCCAAACTCGCTGTCGTAGGTCGATCCAGTGGGTTTAGCTCCATTAGTATTATAGTCATAGAGCGAATCGTCATAAATGCTGGGGTCTAACTCTTTTGCATCATATTCATTAATGTCGTATTCCTTAAAGTACTGGTTTTCTGCACCATTCGTGTTTTTGGACTCCACAATATCCACATTCTCATTGGTGGCAACGGTGGGATCCACTGCAACTTCTTCTATACCTGTAATGTAGTCGTCTACTATTTCTTCTTTTAGCGATGGATTCTGCCCAGCCCGGGGAGGTAGGAGGTCAGCGAATGAAAGAAACAGAGAGGTTAGTCAATGCAGACACCTACTCAAACTAATTAACTAATTTAATGAAGCTCTACAGGTGAAATTACAATTGCACTAGCAAATTTTCAAAGCATCATCATCATCAAATGGTATCAGTTTAGAAATGACAGTGTGTACTTCTGTATATATACAGTATATAGAGAGAGAGAGTTCTGGCATGAAACATTGTCACATGGCAGCTAATTGGTTCTCTCCTGTATCGGTAGCGAATGAGCTCACTGCTCAATATGCAAATACCTGACTTTTGTTTGCTGTAGCAGTTGGTAGCACACTTCAGATCAGCCTAAATCAACATCTAAGAGAAGTGAATGCTCTTTTAATCCATATAGCTGTGTATATTTGCGTTGTCTGCCTAACTGAATACAACATGAGCAACCGTTAACAATTTTAAACTAAGTGTCATGTTAGCAGTTTGCATTGTATGCAGGGGCAAAATATTAAGCACATTAGCAGCAGCATTTAGCATCTGTGTTTACACAGCTGGAGCAAAAGGCAGTTTAGAGCTTGTATTCGCTCTGAGGACATATTAATAGTAAGGCACATGAAAACAAGTTGAAATATAGCTGCAAGCAGCGATGGCGGGCCCAAGTCGTCAGTGCAAACGCCACCCCGGTGGCATCAGGAGAACGGTGCACAGTGGGCACATGCATTTACAGTAACCCTCTGGCATTCTGGTTTTAAGGGATATGACAATTAAAGGGTTAATCAAAACCATTAAGACTGTGAAACACACATACACAGAACAATATATAAAACTTTAATAACACTTTACAATAAGGTTTCAGTTATTAACATTAACTATATTAATTAACATGAACAATAATTATATAGCATGTATTATTGTCAGTTAATATTCAAAACTTAAACATTAAAAAATTGGTAACACTTTATATTAACTGCACACTATGAATCATTACTTAAGCATTAGTAAATAGTCAATTCATCCTTTATAAAGCATTGTTCCAACAATAGGCATTAGTAAGCAGTTTATAAATACAGCTATAAATGTTTTGTTCTTGAGCATATCTATAATATTTAATAATTGTATTTTCATACTTTATTAATGATCAATTTATAATTTCTAAATTATTACGTTATTTACAAACCAGTTATTTAGGAGTTCATAAGATCGTTTAGAAAGTGTATGTAAATTATTAATAAACTATTTAAATGTACATTTATAAATCTTACATTTATAAATGTATAAATCTTATTATTTAAACACATGCAGCCCTCTACGAACACCTTGGCAATTGAATCGCCATTGGCTAGTAAATTTTTTTGTTTACTCGCCAGACTGATAAATATACATACACATATACATATATACACACATATATACACACACATACATACACACACACACACATACACATACACACATACATATACAGACATGCACATACATATACACATACACAAACATATACACATACACACACATATACACATACTCACACACACACACATATATATATATATATATATATATATATATATATATATATATATATATATATATATATTTGTGTGTTTATAAATATCTGAAAGTACACTCTTAACATCAGTCAGTCAAGCATTATAATATTATAATCAATGTTATTTAATGATAGAACTTTTGTAATTAGAATTAAAACTTGATAACCATGTATGAATGCATATTAGTCATTTTAACTGAACATCGGACTGGTGCTGGTGCTTTTTTGGTCATTCAGTGATAAAAAAAAAAAAAATTGGGGAAAAACTAACAAAAATACTGATTAGATGATAATGATACGAATTCTACTAATAAGAACAATGTAAAACGCACCAAGGATTAATGAGCTACTGGATTTGTGAATATTAATCAGGTTGTGTGCGTTCGCTCGAACTGATTTGCTGAAATCAAAACAGGGACGATAATAGGTGAGCACCAGCCAATGAGATTGCCGTTTGCGCATTAGTTCCACCCACTAGCGGAGAAAGCGGTAGTTCAAGAGTGAAACTCTGAAGCACTCAGTCAGAGTGTTAGGCAACTGAAAATATATCTGAGCTAAACTTACAACTCACACACTGGCGAGTAAAATCTGAGAATTTATTAGCAATTGGCTAATATTAGACATAATTTAGTCGCCCAGAGTGAAGATTTAGTCGCATATACAAGTGATTTACTCGCAATGTAGAGGGTTGACATGATAATAGTTGCTCAGTGTGTTAATAAATGCTTTATAAACACATAGTCCTACCGTAACTCATGATTAAGTCAGGTAGTTATAAAACATTTAGAAGCTGCCAGCCATCTATTTTTGTGAGCTCATCTAAAGTGAGGATTGTTTATACCTTCTAAAGCATTTACAAAGGAGATTTAAAAGCTCATTAATCTTCCAAACAGAAAAGTTAATCAAACACAACACAGAGAGATACAGAACGCAAAAATATTTTTTCAAGATTGAAAAAATTTAACTGTACAACTGTTCACTTGATAAAAAAAAAGAAGAAGAAAAAAAACCTCTGCAATTTCGTAGAAAAAAAAATCAAGTGTACGGTTTCATTATATTCATTCTTTTTTTTTTTTTTGCATCTTGAAATAAATAGTTCTGAGTTATGTATCCCTCTGTGTTGTGTTTGTTTATTTTTTCTGTTAGGAATATAACTGAGCCTTTAAATCTCCTTTAAATCTCCAACATTTTGATTAACTAACATCAACAAACATTAATCAATTCTGTGAAAATATATTGTTCATTGTTAGTTCATATTAGTAAATGCATTTACTAATGTTAACAAATGAGACCTTGTTTTAAAGTGTTACCAAAACCTTAATAATTTATAAGCATTATTTAACTATTTTAATGATCTATAATATTTGTGAAATATTTTTGTCTTCATTACAGTTTAGTCTTCATCTGTGAGCTGAACTGTTGGAAAAAAACAACAACAAAAAAATTACAGATTTTTTTTTTCTGGTTATTAAAGATATGTTTAAAAGTCTCTCTCTCTCTCTCTCTCTCTCTCTCTCTCTCTCTCTTGAGACAAACCCCGGTGGCATCAGGAGAACGGTGCACAGTGGGCACATGCATTTACAGTAACCCTCTGGCATTCTGGTTTTAAGGGATATGACAATTAAAGGGTTAATCAAAACCATTAAGACTGTGAAACACACATACACAGAACAATATATAAAACTTTAATAACACTTTACAATAAGGTTTCAGTTATTAACATTAACTATATTAATTAACATGAACAATAATTATATAGCATGTATTATTGTCAGTTAATATTCAAAACTTAAACATTAAAAAATTGGTAACACTTTATATTAACTGCACACTATGAATCATTACTTAAGCATTAGTAAATAGTCAATTCATCCTTTATAAAGCATTGTTCCAACAATAGGCATTAGTAAGCAGTTTATAAATACAGCTATAAATGTTTTGTTCTTGAGCATATCTATAATATTTAATAATTGTATTTTCATACTTTATTAATGACACTCCCACTCTCAACACACACACACACTCACCCAGCCCCCACCACCCCTCCTTCCTCACACAAGAGGCAGAGTGAGATTAGATGTCTGATAGTTTTTTAATTTTCTGAAACTATTCATATTTCCTCAGAATGACTTGTTCTATGTATGTAAAAAGTTTTGAACTGTTTGGAAGCTGAATTTGAATAATACAACACAATTACTCTGTCATTTTTTCCTGTTATTTGAACAAATCACCACGGCAAAACCGTTCAAGCTATCCAAAATCCATCCGCAATATAAGTTCCTCAATGTGTTGGCATCATGTAGACAAAGTTTGGTGTGTATAGACCAATTTTCCTCTGAGGAGTATGCATTAATTCACAGCTATATTTTTTCAAAAATCCATATTCAAATCAATATAGAAGACTTCCTGTTGGTCGTAGCTAATGACTGTATATTAGAAAGTTGTCCGGCTTGATGAGCACAATATATGTACTAAGTTTGGTGACTGTAGCTAAAACTAACCCCCCAAGTTTTGTCAAAAGGTGGCGCTATAGAGTGCCTCTTCCACGCCCTTTTATGAGCTTTTTCCAGTATCTATCTATCATTAATATTGATATGAGTGTTGAGTTTAATGAAATTCTAAGCATGTTATCTGCACCAAAATCACCAGAAAAGAATATTCAAGTTTGACACGTTGCCATGGCAACAATATTTCAGATATCAATATCCCCTCACCAGTTTTACATCGGCCGTGTTTTGACATTATTCTGAAGAAGTTTGAAGCAAATCGGGTAAAAAATAAGATGATGAATTAAAAGCATTTTGAAAATGACACACTTCCTGATGCCAGTTGGTGGCGCTATGACTTTGACTCCTAATAGTCACATGTATGCGATCGGCATCATACACCGAAAAAAAGAACCTGAAGTTTGATCAAAATCAGACAATGTATGTGTATGTTATAAGACACTTCCTGTTTCTCATTTCTCGCCATAACTTCATCGCCTCGCCATGAGCAAACCGTTCGAGATATCAAAAATCTCTTCGCAATTTAGCGTCCCCCATGTCTTGAGATCATGTTCACCGAGTTTGGTGGCAATCGGTTGGAAATCCTCAGACAAGTATATCAAATTCCAGAGCATGTACTTTTTACACAGCCCTGAATAGCCAACTTCCTGTTGGGTGGAGCCTATGACATGCAGTGCAAAAGTTGTTCGGCTCAATGAGTTCTATATGTGTACTGAGATTCATATGAATACGTGCAAGTATGTGTGAGCTATACATCAAGTTTTCTGGCTGTGTTTCAGGGGGCACCGTAGAGCCCCTCTACCACGCCCAGGTCCCAGCCTCTGTGGCGTCCTAATGGCCGCAGGTTCCAACGCGTGTGCAGATTTTCAAGAGTTTTTGAATATGTTAAGGCCCCCAAAAAGCCCCGGAAGGTTGAAAAAAAAATAAATAGAAAAAAAAAATAATAATCCTTAGGGGATCAATAGGGCCCTGCGCCTTTCTGGCTTGGGCCCTAATAAAATAAGCATTCTTTTGTATGCATTTCAACTGGGGTTCTCCATATACATTGGCGATTATCCCAGTGTTCACGTTCGTTATTTCTAAGGTCGATGTTTTCATTGTGATGAGTGCATGGTTGATTTCAGTTGCATGCAGCGTCAGAAGCACGCGCTTATCACAGTCATATCAACGATAGTGTTGCGGGAGAAGGGAATTAAGAGTTATCGCTATGGTTTTTGCAGTTCCGAGTGAAATGCATTATGGGTAGTATAGTTTGGAGAAAAGTGCTCATGTGACATATGCTATCATGTGTTGTGTAATTCAGAAAACAGAGAAAGAACGTTTATAATTTGCTTTATTTGTTCATTCAAGTCAGTCCACCCAGGAGTTTGTACATTGTAACCCTGATAACTTTAGCTACACGAGAGAGTAAAAAGGCATGCATCGGCTAACTTTGTCCATCTCATCACTGCACGAACACGAATGAACGAGCTGTTATACTGCCACTGGGACTGATGAAGTGTAGAAAGTAACAGCAGATATTAAATGACTAAATTATGATATTTGCTCAGGTGGATGCTGGGGTCTTATCTATAGAATTGCAATGTATATCCATTTTGTTAATTAACATTACACATAGTGCGCGTCTAATTAGAGTTAATCCAGTTGGCGTGGTAGCCCAGGCACACATAGTCGTAGGCCACTATTGTTAAGCTGGTCGACGTGGTAGCCAAGGCTCACATAGTCGTAGGCCACTGTTGTTAAGCCAGTTGGGGTGGTAGCCCAGGCACACATAGATAGTAATACATGTGGTTCACATGGCTCTTCGGAGCAGCAGCAGTATAAATGTCTTGGCGATAGATCTGCTTTGTGTGGGATGTCTTGTCTTTCCTTGTCTGTTCATCTTCATGTGTATGGATACATGCATGTCCATTGATGCAGCAGTTTATCCTTATATTCAGCGGCATGCAAATATTGGCTTGTATTGTTTTGTGTAACGTGTCTCCTGCTTTGTGGGGGGTTATTCATATGTGTCATATGTACAGCAGCAGTATTTCTTACATGCTTACAGCAGCATGTTGTGGATGAATTGGCAGTAGCAAGTCTCGGTACTAGTTGCTCTTGCACTAGCAGCGTAGCAGATCTATCCTGTCAAGACCAAATTCATTAACGTTGTCATGTACATTACCATGCCAATCCCTCAGAGAGTTGTCATGAAAGATATATATACAGTTCATATATATATGGTTAAAATACTTTTTGGGGCAACTTTACGTGACAAACAACTAATAGCATTCAATATGTTTACCACTGCAGTGAACAGAAACTAAAGGTTATAATAAAATGATTATCCATAAATCTGAATTGGTTTGGTTAATAAAAATGACAAACCACAACAACCTTGCATGTGATAATGCTGCACTGGTGTCTCATCTCACTCTGTACATCCTGTGCCTTCCAGCTCTTTTTTTTTTCTTTTACTGGGAAACTATTTTGGCTTTAAGTCTGACAGCTTTCCTCACCCAGGGGCCTTTATGCAGTGAACAAAAGTATTTAAGATTTCTCTAGTTAATCCCAGCCTTTGTATAATACACCAGGAGTGCTTTATGAGGCTGTGTCAGCCCAATAGGTGTATCATTTGAAGCAGACATTTGGCCAACGCTAAATGCAAGACATACTGTTCCAGTTAAAGCTGGATGTTCCTCATTTAGACTTTGTGCGATGTCTTAGAACAAACTGTGACAGAATCATCAAACTTTTGAAATAACATAAATAAGGAAAATGCAATGCTTTCGCTGCTTTCAGCTGAATGTAAACTGTTAAATGGAATAGTGGTTTTTATTTGACTTTTACCCATAAAAATCAGACTGAGGTACAACCACTCAGTAAAGACAAACCACACTGAACCACCTCGAGTAGAGTTGGCACCTCAAATATGGATAATTTTCTACTTTTCTCTCATAGATTTGTAATAACATGATCTAAAATACAACAATTATTTAAATGTATCAGAAAATAAGGTGCAAAATAATAATTTCCTAAAGTTAGAAAAACTGATTTAATTGATCAACTTTAGCAAAAGAAGGCTATTTGAATAGAAATCCACTTAAAATGGAACATGGAAAATTAAACGTAGGAGCATGCAGATCTTTACCTCATTGGCTGGAATGGAAACAGAAGGAGCTTCAGTGCCATAGTCCTGCTCAACATAGTAGTCTCCAGTTTCAACATTGCTGGGCTATGAGTAAATGTCACACAACAGACTCACATCACTCAGAATGAAGAAAAAATGTATCTAATCATGATATGTGAATGTTCATTTATTGTTCATTTTAAAACAACTGCTTATTCTTAGCTGTTTATATCGGAATTTGAAATATGAGCAGTTCAAATGCAAGTAAAAGTTGGATTTGGCAAGTAAATAACAGCTGGCCGGTAACTTTATTACAAAATTCAACATAGCAGTAGATTGTTTAAAATCACTCTGAAAGAAATAAAACTGTCTACAAATGGGAAAAAAATCTCAATGCAACATTTATCATCAAAAATTGATATAGGATAGATTTGCACTGTTTGTCTAATATACCAAGAAAAGAAAAGAAAAACCGCTTCATGTATTTTGTCTCTATGATTTATTTATTTACTCTCATTTTGTCTATATGAAACAATGTTTCATGGTCAATACATTTTCTCAAAATCTGCAGATCTAGCAAAAGGTTAAATTTAGACCCTGCAATTGAATAAAAGTGATGTCACATGAGGAGAGACAAAGGCAAAGTTACTGAGAGCAACAGAACAGTGGAGTGTGAAAGTTGGGGTAATAAATAAAGAGACCACACAGCGTGGAAGTGGGAGGGCTGCAGAAAACCCACAGTGATTGACAGGCACCTGGGCCATACAAATGAGCAAGAGTGTTTACCTTGGTCTCAGTACCGACGTTGTCAGTGGGATTTTCAGTGGCAGTCACTTCTTCGGTGTAGTCATAGAACTCATTATAATTGGTGTATTCAGTATTGTACTGAGAGAGAGATGGATGCATGTTAGAAAGAAAGACTTGAATTCAAAGCCCTTCACAGTATACAGTATAGAGTCCTCAAAACACATTTGAACACTTTTTAAATATCTGATATCCAAAATGAAAAGCGCAAACTTAATAGATAAAATATCAAACCAAATGTATTTATTTTATTTTTTTATTTTTAGTGGGCATAATTTTGAACAATATATCTATACTGTTTTGGGATTTTAAACATAAACTTCTCTTTTTTTTCTTTGGTTGAAAAATGTACTATTTTTATTTATTTATTTATTTTTAAATAAACACCACTTGATTTGATGTTATGCTAAATAATGCTACAAGGTTCATAGGTTTTTAAGTAATATATTTTATATTATAGCTTATATAAAGCTATAAGTTTGATTGCATCATATAATAATTGCTGTTAATAGTGTTCATCGTCTGTTTGATTACGTCTTTAATAGATTTTTCCGTACATTTCTGCCATACGTACGTTGACTGACAGTCACCACTGATAAGCTACCACTAAATATTGTAGAAACTTAATTTGCTGTAAAGTTGCTTTGCAATTATTTGTATCGTGAAATGCGCTGTACAAATAAACTTGAATTGAATTGAAACTTAAATTAAGTGTGGCTACATTTTTAAGTGTTCAAATACGTTTTGGGGTGACTGTATGCTAAAAGTAAAATCATTTGTACATTTTCAATAAGTGCTTGATCATTTAGAATTGAAAGTTTAATGACATTTGTAAGCATTTTAACTTACATGAAATAATGTTTGTTTGAACATTATCTAATGTTTAATAAGTTTATTGGCAAACATTAACAAACACATTATCTCACGTTTTTAACTCTGAATATATATTAACTAATGATCCATTAAGCATTATATAATGTTTGTTAATGATTTATTAATGAAAGTTATTATACAGTGTTACCAGATGCATTGCATGATACATTATTGTCATATCACACAAAATACAAATTGTTAAGAATATGAATCACGCATATTCTTGTATATGCAGTTAACATGATGGGTGATTGGTGAACTACAAAAGTTCAAATATTTAAAAACTTTAATTTCTTTGACCTTCTCATCCATTTAGATCATCAAATCAGTAATGACAAAAGGCTTAGTTTGATTTGATGTTTTACATGACATTTTAAAGAGTAAGTTGGTTGGTTATTTATCGAACTACTGTAACATTTGGCAGATGTTTTTAAAGCATGCAAAGCATTTTATGGTACAAAAGCACAGATTAAATGCTTTGAGCCAAACTGGGCCTTATTTAAGAAACACGAGCAGAATGAATTCTGTGTAATCCATTCACACATATCAAATCACATTCAATTCAATAATTTGAATACAAATCATGTTTCATGAATAAGGTCCAATGATGAAGTTCACTATGGTGTAACTCTCCAGTGCCATCCCTATTGGAGATTCAAAAATAGAATCTTTTTTTAACAGATCCAAAGCATTAACACTGTGCCCAAAATAAGCAATGAGTAACCGTGCCATTTAATTAGTGAAAAGAGACATAAGTAAACAGTACAAAGTATTCTGGTCACCAGTGAAAATACTCACAAAATCAAGAAAATTAAACCTCTATAAAACATAAAAATGCACTTCAAATGTCAGATTATGTGGGTACATGATAGTGAAAATTCTTAGTGTCTTAAAGAGTATTAAAAGAAAATAAAAAAGACTGCAACGTGCCTGCTAATGTTCTATTTTATCATATAATTTTGAGCCACCTTGAGCTTTTGAGCCATTGATAGTTACCATCCAACAAACAAACAAACAAATAACAAGTAATGATTATACTTTTTACAATTGCCGAGAAACATCGAAATCGGGCACGTTCAGAACGTACAGTAATACCAATATTAAATGAACGCAGCAATTAATGTGAAAGACCTGAGATGGTTTTAAACATTTTATTTTGTTGTGTAAAGTTAAACAGAGCACATGTATTCACAGAGTATGTGACACATGGCATTTTACAATTTATAATTAATTTATTGGCTAATTCTGCTTCTAATAAAGTGTACTAATTAAATGTAACACTGCCAAGCCACTTGCACACAAACACTTTTTGAAAGTTGTTAAGCACTTATATGGCAGTCAATTTAACAATTCAACAAAGAGCTATTGTTAAGTCCTTCCCAATAATTAAATTACTTTCATAAACGAGCAATCATAAACATACGCTTCCAATTCTCTGCTTGTTGTCTTCTCTAATTGTAATAAGGTGCGTGAACATAAGGTGAGGTATATATTGTAAATTAACAGAAAGGACTTGTCCATCAGAAAGGAATTAATTTAAATCCCAATGCATCATCTGAGCTGATAACAGAGAAAAAAGAACTGAGGCGTGGTGGACTGGCTGTATTCCACTGGCTGCAGAAGAGAAGCAAAAAGGAAGAAATATCCAGCTGCGAGTCGGTTTACGGCATTAAAGGGTCTTGCCAGGCTTGGAGCCTGCCATGGCTGTAGCCAGCGAGCTGGATGAAAGGCATAAATATCGTCCTGGGCCATTAAAAATGCATCCCCATTTCCCACATGTGTCTTAAAGCATTTGGTACGGCGCAGGGGAGCTCCTTGCAGGGGAAAAGAACGGGCCTGTGTCCAAACTTCCTAATAGATATAGATATTAGGTTGCTGATGCTGGACTGCTGATAGCACTAGTAAGTTAACATTGGTTATAAAGCTACATATCATCTGACTATATAGTTATGTAATTTGTTTTTAGCACTCTGAATTAATTAGCTGATTTGTCCATTGGTTTTGCTCTGTCCATCTTCCACGATACGTGATGCTACATTTTCCATCCCCTGTTGTGGTGTAATTCTCAATACCCCAAGCAGCCATTACAGTGATTTATCAACATGTTACAATCAGGAGTTATTTAACAGCTGAGAGACATAACTTCACTCTTCCAGGTATTCCAGAGTTAGCCGTGGAGAGGCTTTCCCAGTGAGCATGCAGGAGTCATTAAAGAAAAATATATTTCCACGCCACTCAAAAGTGGGCTCAGACTCTGTGGCAGGGGGAAAAATAGTTTCCACCATGAGCTCATTGGTTATTCTATGAAATATTATTGTAAAACGTTGACGCACTGAAAAAGCTTAATATCGAAAATCAGAGAAACCGCACTGTTTCAATGTGGGATTAGCAGAAGAGTTTAATCCCTCTATATCACACTTGAGATTCACATTAGATTCCATAAGGACAGTTTGTACAGACCTGCAGCTCTAATAAAACATTCTGTACCACAATAATAGACTAAATATTACATAAAAAATTTTGTTTTAGTTGATTACTCTACAGGGGTAGGCAAGTTCGACCCTAAAGAGCCGCAGTCCTGCAGAGTTCAGCTCCAACCCTATGTCTTCAGGATTACTAAGGCTACAGGCAGGTGAGGTTTTTTTTCAGGGTTGGTCTTATTCCTAGTCTGAGTCCCATCCAATGAGTCTCCATCATTGGACGGGAGTTGTTTTTCTAAGCGTCTGGCACATCTACTTCCTCACTATTGAGAACATAGGTAATATAAAAAGCATGGCTCTGAACTAAACACTGACGGAAACAGGGAGATATAAATCTACTTTGAATACTTGAGCATCCATTTGGGATTGCCCTGTTTTACAATGTCTGCTGAGTACTGTGTTAATTCATAACAGACACATTATTTTCAACGTGAAGTACTCCTTGTACAGCACAGTGAGCTAATTTCATATTCTGGATATTGAATATTGAAAAAAAGGCCAAAAACTTCCAACAACAGATTGGTATCAAAATCCCCACAAGCTACTTGTTCTGGATTGATTTTCTTCATGTGCATCACTAGTCCATTTAAAATCTCTGAATGTATTAGTTACATGCTCTATTAAGTCTGTTCAGGGTTAGAGTAAAAACACTAACATCGGCAAGAATTGAATACAATCTAGGCTACAGATGTCAAAAGTACCAGTACTTACTGTTATTATTATTATTATATATTTTTTTAAAGATGCAATGATTTCAGACTCTCTGCAGCCGTAGTACAAGGTACCAACTCAATTTCAGTACCCAAGTGCTGTATGACAGACAGGCAGACATTTCCAAATGGCCAGCTAAAAAAAAAAATTATACATTTATAATTGTCTATAAATGTCCACAGACAGGACAAAAAAAAATAAAAAATCTAAAACTACACCCTTAACCAACACATTCTCAAAGGCTTCCTCTGCTTCTCAAATTCTTCCTTTAATTACAACAGGAACCTGTGGCGTTCTTCTATCCTGCTGCGGTAATGATAATATTCTCAAGTGTGCTGCAGGTCAATTTTATATAAAACCGCTCAGATCACTTCAGCCTAATGACCAGCACTATCACTGTACATACAAGACTTTATTGGCCTAACTAACCTAAAAACTGACAGTGTACAAAAAGATCATCTTAAAGATCTAAACTGAAGCCTGCACTGTTTTTTGCATTTCAGCAGATATAATGCATTTATACCTGAGCCACTGATGTTTGAGTAGAGTGATATGAAAGATATATCTGCCTCAAAGGTGTTGGAAATTGAGGATATTTAGTGGAAAAAAGGAAATGTTAATCTATTTAACAGCAACTTCATTAATTAATTCAATTACTATTATTCTACTTTTGGTCTCATTAACTAAGGTTTAAATCAGAAATTGTCAGCAGAGTTAAAGTTGAGTTAAGATGAATTGTTCAGTAAGAGCAATAACATGCATATAGAAATGAGATGGATTACTGGGTTTCTAGTAAAGATGATCAGATCTGCAAAAAGTGTGCTGAAAGAACAAGTGTTTTTTTTCAGTCACAGCGTGACAAAACTTAATGGAGTAACTCTGTAAACTGAGTTTAACACATGACATTCACCCATTCTTATCATCGCCCTTACCTGATGAAGTGTTAATGCCCTATTCTTCTGAAGACTGTGCAATTTACATGTCAGAGGTCAAGCCCAGAGAAGAAAGTTTGGTTCA